TCATGTTATATAGAAACATCTAGTAATGGTTTTAAATTTGGAGAATGAAAGACTTACCATATTTTCATATAAACTTATATGTATGTCTTTACAATGACATGAGAAAAATCTCCTAACTATTTGTGATATCAATGTATTTTAATTTTGTTTTATTCCCTCCATGGTTAAAAATCCATACATTGTCTCAAACTAAGTCTTTCAACTCCTAAATATCAATAAAACATTTTCTTGAACAACTTTAATGTTCTCTTAATCATTAATGTTTACCTCTAGAATCTTCAAATTTGTTGTCTCAAGTTATTCGACATAACTTTTTTTAGCATATAACACCAAATAACTCATTTTTCATATAAATCGACTAAAATATATTTTTGAGATGTCTTTTTTATCAAGGAAGATAGCTCAATAAAATGTGATTCTTTCAAAATATAATATTGTGTACATGACTCGAAAGGTCATCAAGGCGCAAGTGAATGTTGATTATCTAGCAGAAAATTTTGAGGACAATTATTTACCAATGAAGTTTGAGTTTCTAAATAAAGACATCATGACCATAGAAGCCGCAAAAGAAGATACTAATAATTGGGATAATCTATTTTGACGATGAAATCAATATGATGTAAATGGTATTAGAGCAATTTTGATATCTCGAAGTAAAAATCAATTTTCAATAATGATCAAACTAGTTTTTTCTTGCACAAATAATATCACTAAATACGAGGGTTGTATCACAGGGTTTCAAGCAACACTTGAAAGGAATGTGAAAGATATATAAATATGACAATTCATCGCTAATCATATGTGAAAATAGTGGGAGAATAAAAAACCAAAGATCGCAAGTTGCTTACATATCATTGATACTTAGAACAACTCACACCTTTCATCATTGCCTAGGTTGAAGAATAAGTTCACAAATTGTTTAACTATCTTAGCTTCTATGATTATCATATTGCTTGGTGACTTTATCCAATTTCTTAAGGTAGAGATTCAGGAAGATTCATCTTGTTGCCTAAAGGTCGAGGAGGAAGTCGATGGAAAGCTTCATTATTATGATATCAAACAATACACTTGAAATGAGCAGCAGCCACTTAATATCTCAAAAAATTAAAAAACAAAAACTATCATCGGGCTCTCTATAAGTTATTGTTCAGATGGAGAATTTTTTTACAACAGACATGCAGATATGGCTTTGTTATAGTGTGTGGATGTGAAAAAGCTAAATAAATCATTAAAAAAGTCCACAAATGAGTTTATGGAACCCATGCCTAAGGGCATATGCTTGCAAGAAAGGTAATGCAGGTAGGGTACTTTTGACTTATAATGGAATTTAACTGCGTGGATTATATTCGCAAATACCATAACTGTCAGATTTATGGAGATCACATCCTCACCCTGTCAACGCTATTACATAATTTAGTGGCCTCATGACCTTTTTTTTATGTGAGGAATGGATTTTAGTTGGTGATGCTTCACCAAAATCAAAATTTGAAAAAGAATGTGGGGTTTAAATAGTTGTGGATATTTTTAAGAAATTTGAAAGTACAAATCTCCAGGATTTGATGAAAGTAAAAAAAGCAGGCTAAAGTCCCACAAAATTACTCACTCCGATTTTGTGAGATCACACAATTCAAAAAAAGCTCGACCGAAAGAACAAGAAACTGAATATATGGACCATGAAAATTTTCTGAGCCTAAATAAGAAAGAAGCTTTGGGCCTACACGTAACTCGAACCCAGGCCACATTAGAGGAAGAAACTAGCATGGCCCAAGAAGAAGGGAAAAAAGGCAGTGTCCAACAATGACACTCGGGTTTGACTTGACAATTTCAAGTTCAAAGGAATAACCTTTTGCATCATAGTGTAACCAGCAACTTGAGAGATCGGCGAGACCTGGGTATCAGGCTCGCCGAGTGCCATAAAAATATTAAGTTAGAACTGTCGAGAGCTTGGCAACCCTCAAATGGTGGTAGCT